ATTATCACAAAGATTTTGATGCACATCTTTCTTATTAAATCGTTGTATTCCACCTCGTACCGTTACAACTGATAGAGAATCACTTAAGACTATTTGCTGTAGGCCTATTCCACATAATAATATGCAATAAAACAATATGATTTGTTAACATGTAGATAGGAGCTTGCTGCATGAATCCGTGAGTACAGTTTACAAACCCGAGGGGACGGATTGCGAAAGCGTGCGCGCGGATTATTAATTTGTGGGAACGGATTCAAAAACCGAAGGTATTGTTAAAAAATCTGAGCATGGATTGGAAATTCGTGGGTACGGTTTATTAATCCGTGGGCACGATTTGTTAAACCGAGGGAACAGTTTAAGAATTCGTGAGTACTGTAACACTCCAATAAAAGTCAAAGGAGTAAAAGGAGACCAAAACAGGTTCCTGCCTGGACAAGATAAATTATTTGGGCATCAATAGCCAAGGAGACTCAAGCACACAACCTTAATAAATACAAATATAGCTTTTATTCTTATACAATAATATATAATATATATTTCAATAATGAAAATCATATTAGAACCTCAAAAGGGCAAAGCAGCAGGTTAAGATGGGTGTCACATATGGTTAATAGTGCATTTGATCATCAAAAGTTACCTAGAATAAGTAAGCAGTCAATTTCATTACACAGCCAACACCAAAGGTACAAAAATCCATAAGTGCATCAGTTGAATCACACTTCAATACACCCCAAAAAGGGCACTCACTACGTGCCAAAACCACTCTGGCTAACTACTAAGCCGTCGTCAATATAAAACAGGAACAATGGCACATAAAAGATAAGAACCTGCCCTAATACCCCTCCACACACACCCACACACACCCACCCACCCACACCCACCCACACCCACAAGCGCCGGGGGACCGGCAACAATTAATCAATCACATTAAACCAGGACTCCCCGGCGAATAAGACACTTCATAGATACACACAATTTAATAAATCATAAAGGCAGATAATGGGCTGCTGGCCTTCTTACCCGCTACCGGACACGGGGTACAGCGTTCGGGAAAACAACCGCCGGCCGCCGAACTTTAGTTAGGGAAACCCAAAGCTACAAACTATCCCTCCCAATCGCTTCGCACACGTCCCGGCACGGTAGTCTCGGCAAGAAGCTCAGCAGCACTCGCACACCAAATCCCCCTCTCAACAACAACAGACCTCATACCTTTATTGATTCCATTAGAAATGCAGCACAGGTGTTGGTGTTTGTCATTTTCCCCTAATGAGACGTAAAGCGGTTAATACGGGCGCAACCACTGTCGCCCCTCCCCTTGCCTAAAACGAAGGGTTTACAGTACGGTTTATAAACTGAGGGGACGGATTGCAAAATCTGAGCACGGATTGTTTTTTTTTCTCCTACAGGTGACTTCCCGGCCTCCGTACTACGCAGAACGAAATAATAATAATAATCATTATTATTATGACTGAAGTTTGATTTAACAACAAATCGAAATACGAAAAAAAAAGAAATTTATTATTATTAGCCTATTAGAAAATTTCTTTTTTTTTCGTATTTCGATTTGTTGTTAAATCAAACTTCAGTCATAATAATAATGATTATTATTATTATTTCGTTCTGCGTAGTACGGAGGCCGGGAAGTCACCTGTAGGAGAAAAAAAAACAATAAACCAGTAGAGCTGAGAGACTGCACAGATGAAGAGAGTGAAGTGAAGGGATTCCTGCAGTGTCTGCCCTACATCTCACAGCTGAGGTGAGAGTCTCATGTGAAAACATTACTCTGGATTTGTCTTGTTTTCTTATTTCCTTCTCAGTTAGAATTATTGCAATTTTTATTTTTATCTCACAAACTGACTGAATTGATGATGATCCCAATAGTGCTGTTAGTAGAGCTATGTGTAGAACTTAAAATGTTGCTCCTCATCACAGTCCCTAATCCTGTAAATTTTGATTAATCTGTTTATCCCTTTTTTTCTTTCTGAATCTGCTCCCATATTTCATATTATCCAGCACTGGACATTGAAATCATATTTACATTTGTGTCTCCACAGATTTGACTGCTTGATTTTCAAAGAAAAGAAAAGGTCTTTCCAGTTTCTGGTGAATCTGATTATTTCAGCATCAGAGTTTGATAAAACGACTGGTGAAAATTACACTGAGCTGTTCACATCTGTGTGCAGCTACACATCTTTCCCCTGCAGTGAAAACTATACTAACCGTCACGCTGCTCAGTGTGATTTCCTGCTGGATCTGTGGTCACATGTGAAGGACTATGAGACTCAAACAGGCAGGAGTGTCCTTCCAGCATTACAGCCAATTTATCAGTCAGCTCCTGCAGTTCTGTGTTTGTTTCTCTGTGGTTATTGTTTGTTCTGTGAACAGTGTGATTGTGTTCGTCTGTTTTCAGCACACACTGATGTGATGTAACACACAGGACACAACAGCACTTGACTTTAATGGAGCTGTAGATTAAGTGTTCATTATCATGATAGTCAGCACACAAACACAGTGCAGAAATTCTGTCTGACACAGTTTTATCTGATTCAATGGCTTAAATAATTCTGAAAGAATGTTTCAAAGAAATTATTTACATTGATTGATTTTTTTTCACATTTTATTAAGTTTCAGTTGAACATAAGAAAAATTCCAGAAAAGCTATTATTAATAGTATTTGATTTTATAATTGCATTTGATTAGTTCATGATAGTTAGTAGTCTCTAATACTAAGATGCTTCGATGCTTGTATTTTTAAAATATAACAAAGTGCCTCCAAGTCCAGTGTTTTTTTTCTCCACTCACATTTTAATATTCTTTACTCTATAATGGGTGTGCTGTATGGTCTGTGTTGTTTTGATAGTTGTCTCCCCTCTTCATACCCTTTAAAATCTTAAGCCTTGTTTATACTTTTTTATTATGTTATACTTTATTAGATTATGAGTTGCTACAGTCTGTTTTATTGGTATTTGTCTCCACTCTTCACACCCTTTATATTCTTACACTCTTCAGTTTTCCACAGCTTTACACTCATTTCTTCAGTTTTTTTAAAATCTGAGATTATTCATGACACTTTAATGGAGCTGTAGATAGTTTACTCTCATGATAGTCAGCACACAAACACAGTGTAGAAACGGTCTGTTAGAGATTTAGCTTCATATCACCTAATTCAATGATTTTACTTTTCAAGGAGTGTCTTTAAAAAAAAAAACTAATTAAATGATTTATTTTCTTTAAGAGTCAGGTTATTTTTTTTAGAAACCAGAGGCATAAGGAAAAAAACCTCCATGAAAGACTTATATAATCTTATGATTATATTTTAAAGAAAGTTTTTTTTCTCCACTCACATTTTAATATTCTTTACTCTATAATGGGTGTGCTGTATGGTCTGTGTTGTTTTGATAGTTGTCTCCCCTCTTCATACCCTTTAAAATCTTAAGCCTTGTTTATACTTTTTTATTATGTTATACTTTATTAGATTATGAGTTGCTACAGTCTGTTTTATTGGTATTTGTCTCCACTCTTCACACCCTTTATATTCTTACACTCTTCAGTTTTCCACAGCTTTACACTCATTTCTTCAGTTTTTTTAAAATCTGAGATTATTCATGACACTTTAATGGAGCTGTAGATAGTTTACTCTCATGATAGTCAGCACACAAACACAGTGTAGAAACGGTCTGTTAGAGATTTAGCTTCATATCACCTAATTCAATGATTTTACTTTTCAAGGAGTGTCTTTAAAAAAAAAAACTAATTAAATGATTTATTTTCTTTAAGAGTCAGGTTATTTTTTTTAGAAACCAGAGGCATAAGGAAAAAAACCTCCATGAAAGACTTATATAATCTTATGATTATATTTTAAAGAAAGATAAACATTCTTGATTTGGCTGCTTACAAACAAACCAACTATGATCATTTATATTACAGTACATTATTTAATATTATCCAGCTCTGGACATTAACATGATTATTTTGTTTGTCTCCACAGAATTCATGATCCTGATTTCAGTTATGAGAGGGAATCTGCTGCTCAGTTTCTGCTGAATCTGACTGTTGCAGCTTCAAAGTGTGTTACAACTACAGGAGAGAATTTCATTGAGCTGTTAGCATCAGTGTGCAGCTACAGATCATTTCTCTGTTACGATGATGATGATGATGATGATGATGAGTATAAGATGATGTGTATCAGAGAACACTGTGATTTCCTGCTGGATCTGTTCAAAGAAATGATTTACATTGATTTTTTTTCACATTTTATTAAGTTTCAGTTGAACATAAGAAAAATTCCAGAAAAGCTATTACTAATAGTATTTGATTTTATAATTGCATTTGATTAGTTCATGATAGTTTGTAGTCTCTAATACTAAGATGCTTTGATGCTTCCATCATCGGCTTGTAATTTTAAAATATAACAAAGTGCCTCCAAGTCCAGTGTTTTTTTTTCTCCACTCACATTTTAATATTCTTTACTCTATAATGGGTGTGCTGTATGGTCTGTGTTGTTTTGATAGTTGTCTCCCCTCTTCATACCCTTTAAAATCTTAAGCCTTGTTTATACTTTTTTATTATTTTATACTTTTTTAGATTATGAGTTGCTACAGTCTGTTTTATTGGTATTTGTCTCCACTCTTCACACCCTTTATATTCTTACACTCTTCACTTTTCCACAGCTTTACACTCATTTCTTCAGTTTTTTTAAATCTGAGATTATTCATGACACTTTAATGGAGCTGTAGATAGTTTACTCTCATGATAGTCAGCACACAAACACAGTCTAGAAACGGTCTGTTAGAGATTTAGCTTCTTATCACCTGATTCAATGACTTTACTTTTAAAAGAGTGTCTTTAAAAAAACTAATTAAATTATTTATTTTCTTTAAGAGTCAGGTTAATTTTTTTAGAAACCAGAGGCATAAGGAAAAAAAACCTCCATGAAAGACTTATATAATCTTATGATTATATTTTAAAGAAAGATAAACATTCTTCATTCGGCTGCTTACAAACAAACCAACTATGATCATTTATATTACAGTACACTATTTAATATTATCCAGCTCTGGACATTAACATGATTATTTTGTTTGTCTCCACAGAATTCATGAACCTGATTTCAGTTATGAGAGGAAATCTGCTGCTCAGTTTCTGCTGAATCTAACTGTTGCAGCTTCAAAGTGTGTTACAACTACAGGAGAGAATTTCATTGAGCTGCTAGCATCAGTGTGCAGCTACAGATCATTTCTCTGTTATGATGAGTGAGGTTTATCACTTTGTAAAACTCTATTGTAGCTATTTGTGAAGACCTGTATCTAAACTGCAAATCATGTTTTTTGCAGTCATTTTATGGTTTAATAAGTTACCATAGCTATTGCCCTACCCCACTCATACGGTTTACCTTATTTGTGCATGCTTAATAAGTCGTACATTTTATTTAAAAACCCTGCAGATACCCTGTAATTTTTTTTTTTTATTATTATTATTTTTTTCTATTTTATCATTTATATACTTTATGTTGGATATTTACATTATGCAATGTTAAATGCAATCCAGACAAGTGGTTTTTAATAGCTCAATAACTTCTGATTTAAAGTAAAGAACTCAAATATGTGTAAACATGTAACTTATCACAGTTGTAAAGTGCTGGAAAAGCTTGAAAATGCACCCTGAAAATGCTTGAAAAGTGCTTGAATTTGACTTTGGAAAAGGTGTAAGAACCCTGATTATTACAACACAAATGTCCTAAGCACGTAAATAGTTATTTGTTTAATGTCAGGAATTTCCCCCGCTTATTAAAAAGTTACCTTCGTATTCATTACAGTAACAAACATTAGATGAACACGATGAACATCAGACAGACGAGATCTTCAACATATGTGTTACACATGACAAAGTGCTCATTCTGAAATCTGAAGAAAGATTTATGCTGCGTAACATATGTGCATATACCTTAATTCAGCTTGTACAGGCTGCTCACTCTTTATATAATTATGTTGTGTTGTTATATTGTTTTTGTTCATACAGTTGGCTAACTGCAAATGTTTCAACAATGATTTTGTTAACAGCATGCATTTTGAGGCAGTTAATGATTTAAATGTTGGTTAAATTCATTATTATTCAACATAACATTTTATTCCAATGGAAACTGTAATGCTAGTAAAATACCATAGAAACTGTGCGATCTTGAAGAGTGAAATAGATGTTGCTCAATCAGGACATAAAATACATGCATCATAACTTATTTAGAGAAATAATGCTGACTACATGTGGTACAGACTTAAAGACACGAAGCTTTATTTCCATGATGATGCATGGCAAACTTTGAATTTCAATACAATATAGTACAATATAGTAACAAAGGCTTTTATCATAATATTTCTTGTATATTCAAATTAATTTCTTATTCTAATACCAGATATATGTTCATGTTTAATATTTCCTGCTTAATTACATACATAAAGAAATATATTTGTGTTGTATCAGTTTCCTCTGTCGGTAGTGCACAGCAGACACACACCCACCTTAACAATTTCAATATATCGCTTAACCTGCCCGAAAACACCATAAACATTGCAGATAACATCTGAAATAACAATTCATTTACATACACATATCCTAAAAACTAATTCTGTGTGACTGTTATGCTTCAAATCTGGTGATTTTTGACTGTCAGTCAATGATGCTCTCTGCTGTAGGGAATAGTAAGATGGCGGCTCAAACACTTCCGGTGGCTTCACCGCTGATTAGCAGTTTAGAACACAATGAGCAATCGAGTCATTATACAGATCACTGTCATAAACCTAATGATCTTTTTATTAATATTGTAAAGATGAATGTTGTATTTATGAATCTGCTACCATATGTCATATTATCCAGCACTAGACATTGAAGTGTGTTTACATTTGTATCTCCACAGATTTGATCCCTATGTGAAGAAAAGGTCTTTCCAGTTTCTAGTGAATCTGATTATTTCAACATCAGAGTTTGATAAAACGACTGGTGAAAATTACACTGAGCTGTTCACATCTATGTGCAGCTACACATCTTTCCCCTGCAGGAAAAACTATACTAACCGTCACGCTGCTCAGTGTGATTTCCTGCTGGATCTGTGGTCACATGTGAAGGACTATGAGACTCAAACAGGCAGGAGTGTCCTTCCAGCATTACAGCCAATTTATCAGTCAGCTCCTGCAGTCTGGACCATAGATCTCTCAGAGAGAAAGAGCTCCATCCTCCTAGAAGTGCTGAAACTCCAAACAGAGAAGAAACCAGTAGAGCTGAGAGACTGCACAGATGAAGAGAGTGAAGTGAAGGGATTCCTGCAGTGTCTGCCCTACATCTCACAGCTGAGGTGAGACTTTCTGTGTTTGTTTCTCTGTAGTTATTTTTTGTTCTGTGAACAGTGTGATTGTGTTCATCTGTTTTCAGCACACACTGATGTGATGTAACACACAGGACACAACAGCTCTACTGTCATGATAGTCGGAACACAAACACACTGTAAACTATCTGTATGTCAGTTAATATTAACTTAATTAACTTAATATTAACTAATTCAATGGCTTAAATCGTTTTGAAAGAATGTCTCAAAGAAATGATTTCGATTATTTGTTAATTTTCTTTCATATTTTAAGTTTCAGTAGATTTTTTAGAAAATCGCAATTTTGACTAGTGTCTGTGAATATAAAAACACAAAAAGACTGCTATTTAAATATAAAGTTTGCATGTTCTGTACGTCTCTGAGTGAATGAATGTTGTGGTTCCATCTGATACACACGATGACGCTACTGTCGTCTCACTATGACATGAACACATGAACTTCATCTTTAGAGCTGCTCTGAGCATCACTTCACAAGCATTTCACTTGAGAAAACTATCGTCATATTTTATACACAGACACTCAAAGGTCTTCAAAACAACCTGTCAAAATAAAAGGCCAGTTTAAAGGTGCAGTAAGCGATTTCTGAGAAACGCTGCTGAAAGTGGATCGCATTGAGCACCAAACACACTTCTAGCCTGTCACCAGTAAGAGGCATGTCCACTCATGATGGGGGAGGTGCCTGCTGCATAGTGTGTTTGTGAATTTGGGGGCGGAGCTATCAAGATAGTGGTGTGATCCTTTTGGGTAGGAGCGTGTTTGTTTTGGTCATTTCAAATATCAACAGCGTTTCTCAGAAATCATTTGCTGCACGTTTAAGTTCAAGACATTTTGACAGAAATATATTACTACTGTACAGTAGAATGTGCTTGTCAAAGTAAGAATGAATAATTATTATTATTATAATACATTTATTAAATCTTATTTTTTTAAGGAATAATCACACCATTTTTCTTCCATGTTTTAATTTTAATTGTAATTGTGCAGCACTTTGTTTGGCCAAAAATTGAAGTAATAGTTACATTTTCATTTGATTACATTTTAAAAGTTAATGTTTCATTCCTTCATTTGATTACCACCATTTTTGATAAAACATTTGTATTAAATCAAGAATCCAGAAAAAAAAAATTTAAACAGACAACACAACTTTAAACTTTCTTTAAATATGAATAAATTTCTTTAAATAAGCGTACTTAAAT